ATTTAAAACTACAAAATGGTATCGGAGATTAGAGGACTTCTTTAGAGTAAAACCATTTTTCAATTCTTAAATACCTTTCCTTTTAAAATAAAATGCATTATATAATACCAAAGTATTCATAAAATGACATTTTGCTGAAAATACACACGTCTGTGCATCATTTAATCATTTTACGTTTCAAAAAGCAAACCACTGTCGAATATAGCCACTAGACACAGATGACTACTCCTTTACCCCTACATTACTTGCTATGAAATCGGATAAAACGTAGTATCAGATCTCTTTTGTAATATTAAACTACATATACCATATACCACAAGCTAACGAACGAAAAATAAATTAAAATAAAACAACAACAAAACTCGAAGGTAATCAGTCTAGTTTATGTTTCCATGAATTTAAAATATCCATAAATAGATGCTACCAAAATTTAATTATTTATAACTAAAATTTAAGTGTTGTAAATGTAATTAAGCTAAACATAACTGAACATAACTTCAACACAATTTAATTTACATCATACGAGTATATACAATAAGGACAACATTTTATTTTTTAATTAATTAATCGACTTAGATTTAGGAAAATTCTTTCAAGTTTGGAACTATATATTTCATGGGACTATATCTATGATATTCATTAAAGCTATTCTGTAAATATTCATAACTTTAGACAAAAAAAATATGTCGATATCTGGGCCACACATCAAAAGTGTGTGCTCGAGTGTTCCATCTACTATGGATGCTCCAAATGCGTTTGGAGTTCCTTCTGGGCTCTCTCTCTCTCTCTCTGTCTCTGTCTCTCGTTCAGATGTAGTGTTTACAGTTCATATCGTGTAAATCGAGGCACTCGTAGTTGTAAATATCTGCGAGACTGAACATCATGCATGGAGAAACTCAGAAGCCTGACGTCATCTGTGCACTTTTAGTTTCCATCCAATCACAACCTAAAGGCGAATTATTATTCGACATAATGATCGGCGAGGTTCGCTGCACTTCGCGTGCCGGATAGTAGACTACGGGTCCGGGTGATGGTGCCCGGCCTCGTTTGATCTTGACCACGCCCGGCGAACTGGCACTTTTCATGATGCGACCATTGTTGAGTGTACTGTTGCCCGATGTCGTTACCAAATACGTGGTGGTGGTACTGCGCTGAGTACCGTGACGAGAGAAGCGCCCCGAAGACCGATGATTATAAGTGCCATCACCATTGTTCGATATTGAACTTTCGTAGTGTATAAGATCGGGCTGGTCGCGGCTGAGGCGGCGCTTGAAAAAAATCAGCAGGAATATACGCTTGAACTTCTCGCCGAATATCACGTAGATGAGGAAGTTGCAGCTGCTGTTGATGGTCACCAGCAGGTTGCTCGTCTTGGTCAGGGAGTTGTCGATGAAGTTGTAGAACGCCTCCGATATATTCACCACCAGGGCTAGGAAATTGAAGGCGAAGAACACTACCACCACACACAGCAACATGGTCGCCAAGCCGATTTCCCGTTTCTCAGAGCGTGACAGCCGTTGGCGTTCTCGATTCGCCCGTTTCACCTGCCGGTAAATGAGGCAATTCAGTATGGCCAACGTCAGGAAGGGAATAATGTAATTTACTATCAGGTAGCACCAGTTTATATACAGATTGATGTACGTGGGGTTGGCTCGCAGACGTGAGGGCCGAACACAATACAAGACATCGGGAATATCGTCGTACTTAGTGCTCGCCGTAACAACTTCCCAGAAGCGCGGCAAATTGTACAGCGTTGCAAAGAGTACACAGACTATGAAATAGATTTTGGCTCTGCCATATGTACACAATGCCCGGGCCTTTAGCGGATGACAGACTGCCACATACCGCTCCAGCGTTACCGTGAACGTCATGTATATACTGGCCGTCTGGGAAATCATGCCTATGGGAAACACCACTGGCGATATGTAGGGGAAGATGTAGTTGTAGTAGAGGAAGAAGTTGCCCGTGTACGGATATATGGACGGTATGCCGAAAAGCAGCATCGATGTTATAATTAAGACGGTATCACAGCAAGCTAGGCCAATGAGCAGGTAGTTAATGCTAGAACGCATTTGGGGACGGGACAATATAATCATCGAAATCACATTGCCGATAATGCCCAGAATGCCGACAATATTCAGGCAGACTCCACAAACCCAGAACTCTACAAGAGTTTCGTGGTCTTCGGGGTTGTACAGCTTCTGACAGGGATACTGTTGGTGATCCGAGTTCGTATAGTTGATACCGCCATACAGGCTGTGATGTGTGAAGTTGTCGGCGGCCGTGACAAAGATGCTGCTGCTATTGTAATCGGTGTCCGACACGGTAGTGTAGTGATTGAAGTGATCGCCAGCATGGTTGACATCACTAACGCTTTCGATGAAGTCGTTGGGGTCAATGGGCGCCGAATCGAATTCGCCAAGGTAATCTGTATCGGGTTTGGGCGGCGGTAACACTTGTTGCCGTTGCAGCAAAGGTAGGGGCGTTTGCGGCAGAAATGTGTCTAGTGTATGCGTATGATACGGATAAACACTATCCGTTACATTGGGGTCAAACATGAGTTCGAAGTTTCGATGTAGCCAGAAGGTGGAGAAACAAATAAATTAACTATACAACAATACGCGTGGCGTTTCTGGAACATGAGATGTAAGTGGAAGGGGTGCGACTATGCGGGAATCCTTACTATTGTTAGTGATTCTTTTCTATTTTAAGTAGTCTTTCATAAAATATTTCCTTTGCTGTGGAACTAGTTTCAGTTAGTCGCATTCGTTTGTAAACTTCTTTAATATCACAATGTTGTCCTCACTGTATCCTGCATCAGCTTATCTCTGTCTGTGGTGTAGTTTAAACAATTTTACAAGTTCTATTTACAAATAGTTGGTGTTGTTGTAAGCTCAGCAGGCAAACGATGTCTACTGAAACCTCCGCTCGCTATTCTGCCCGTGCAAAACTTTTAATATTAAACACACTTCGGGTTACTTAATGCTAGGTTAAAGTTCAACCTTTACTCGTGTCCAACTGACTACAATTTCAATTGGTTATTTCCTCCGGCGTCGGTGCTCAAATTAAACAGACCCAGGAACAGTGCAAGTTCTGTCAGTGTTTCTACCGTTGCTGTCAGTTGAAAGTGAAAAAGGATAAAATTTCCATATTTCATTAAGTCCTTATGCCGTTACGTGCTGAGCGCCAACACTTTGCCTGGCAGCATGCAATTGGAGTTTGTTGGGCTTTGCTACAACTAATGGAAATAGATAATTCACGTGGTTCACTAGCGCGCTTCTTAGACTTCTTAGGGCTTGAGTAAGTATCACAGTCTTGTTGCCTCTGCCTTGCCTTTTTCCTTTACTGTCCTCCTTCAGTTGGGGTTTGTTTTATTTGTGGAACTTCGCCACATGAATATACAAACGATTTGTTGCTATATTCTAATGTCCTCAAATTAGAGGCATGTTCAACTTTGACATCTATTGCTGGAGTCTGTGGACTAAAAAGCCAACATATTTCTTCTGAATATTTGATCTGTCCTGTTTCTCCTCGTTGCCTTCGAATATTAATACTATGTTGTCGATGTGTGTCTGAGTGTGTGGGTGTTTGTGACAATGCCACTGCATTAAATTTTGTCAAAGAGCAAATTCATGTAGGTTTTAGTCGTTTTATTTATCTCCGATTGTATTTTTCTCAGTTGCCTTAGTCATTGGTTTGGCAGGGTCTTTCGTCTAACCGGCAATGCAGCTTCTTTTGTTCGTATCCTTGCAACAAATGCCAACACCAACGCAAACAGAAACAAACACAAACACACATATATCAGAGTCGGACGTTATCCTTATTTAGAAGTCCATTTTATGCATTCCTTCGTTCAATTGTTGGTTGCCAGTTTGTTTGCTCTCTGCTGCTCGCATATAATCCTGAAAGACATTAAAACAAGTCTCGTTTATTATGGCCTTCATAGCTTGGAATGTGTACGAGCACACAGATGATGATGGTGTCATTCAGGATACCTACCTTCTAGACAATTGTTAGGGTGGTTTTCCAGGCGAATTACTATTTCCAATTGGAGAATTTTCTATCGGAATCTAAAATGAAAGAATAACAAGAAAATACAGATTAGAATTTATCGCTGCAAGTGCTTAAAAACTTAACAAAGAATTGTGTTATTTACCATAACACCTACACGTTTATGTTTTTTTCGTATCTGTTTGTATGAACGTGCGTACGTACATTAGATAAGTAAACAAATCTTTACCTAGGGTCAATAGAAATAATTTTGTGTCAATATGTAGGTCTACGTTGTCCTTTTAACGTTGAGTAGCTTTTTGTCGTTTTGAACATCGAGTTGTAATTTTTGAATTCAAAAGCGGTGCTCTTTTATTTGGTATTTTTTTCTAGGCAGGATATGGATGTTAAGGTATGTTGGTATGCGTGAAAATTGTCATTCACACTAAGAAAACCAGCAGTCCGACCGAATATATGATAATTTGATATTTTGGCTTTTCATAGGGTGTCCAATTTTCCTTCATAAAATTATCGATATCTGTATGCGATATCTGTTTGCTAAAACTGTACCGCCAATTTTTGACAATTTGAGGATTTCGGTGCCCAATTTTCCAATAGGCTGTAGTTTCATATTTCAATTTCTCTCGGCATTAATTTGCCAGTGAAATGCTTAAAATCGATCGCAAAAATCCCGATAGATTTTAAATATTTGGTGCTAATATAAAAATTCGATCGATTTTAAGTATTTGACTGTGCACCTCAAGGTGGAGAGAACAAAAAGTTCGGCCCTGCCGAACATAAAGAAGTTTTTAGTTGTTTCTATTCATATTTTCCAATAAAACAATTTCAATAATATTAACATGTAAAAATCAATAAAAGTACTCATTTACCGCAGTAATTAAGAAATATAATGAGAGTCAAAGACTTAAGTCCATGAAAACATGCAAATAAAATACACATACGATACAAAAATGAAATTAAATTCATTTAAAACATCTTTATTCAAAAGAAAGTTTGCTTGTTTTTTGTCTCTCCCGGAAAATTGTGAAATGTGGAGTTGTTGCCTTTACAAGTTAAGCCAGCGATATTACATTTTTAATAAAAAACATTTTACCATACTTTAAGAATATAATTTTTGATATTGTGTCTGCAATCTATGCTCTTTTATACGCGACTAGCATAGGCCCGCTACGTTGTTAGCGAATCTTTTAATATTTAAAAAATAAACATGAATTTAGCTATACAATACACTTTTGGATTAAGTATAAATTTGAAACATTTTAATTATAGGTTTTATATCTTTTTTTTAATCTTAGATCCTACTCCGCATTTCTTTCGAAGAGAAACGTTGATACTACTATCCTACTAAATCGAGTACAACTTAGTTATTTTTATATTTTCTGTAGTGTACTATTTTCTCGATCCTCCCGATGGACCAATTCAAATAGTGCCATAATACGTTTTTATCCTTTTTTTGTTCCTTTCGGTAATTAATATTTCTGGTGCATTACGATTTACAAAATCCTCAATCGAAAAAATGTCGGCATTTTTAGTATATCCTCGCATAAAGATCCAGCCCATTATTCATTACAATGAAACATTTGTGTTTAAAAGTGCCTACACTTAAGTACTTGTGGTGTTCAGCGGCTTGTTTCCATAGTTGCACTTATTTGTATATGAAGTCTCGTTCGTTGTATACCACATTGGAAGTTTTGAGCAAAATGCGCGTATTCATTCGCTGCGGTATAGATCCATGCGGGATTGGAAACTATATTTCATATAACCGTTAGTAATTTTTAATAAATACGTTCAGAAATTTTTTCCATAAAACATATTTTTTGCCATAGTCAAAGATAAATACTAAAATTCGGATATCTGTCTGTAAACTTTCCTAATTAGTACTTTATACTAAAAATGTTCAAAAACAACTTTTTTAATTTGTACTTTAAGTACAAATGTCAAACAAAATAGCGAAAAGCATTGTTTTTCATAGAAAAAAGCTTTGTACCCAAATTCTATATACACCCGTGCCGCCATATACAATGTGTTAGTATTTGTTTTCTATTTATTTGTTTATAATATACAAAACTACATACAGAATTTTAGAATTATACTTTTTCTCATACAGTGCAGTATTTTTGGAGTCACTTAGTACGAATTTTTAATAAAACAAACCGCTTATTTGAACTAAGAGTTGGACATTTTTGTACTCTAAGTACAATTTTCTAAAAATATTAATTTAATAGTTAAGCTACATACTACATTTCAGATTTCAATATCTAGCTTTTCCATTATAAGTTAATATGTTGTACCATTTAGTACTAATTGCAAAAATATATTACTGTATAGGATAGTATTTGTAATAGTTAAATCTATGTACCGCGTTCTAGATTTCAATTACTTTCGGTTCCATTATACTACAGTATTTGGAACTAATTTCAAATGAATTATGCATTGCATATTATTTGCAATAGAGTAAGCTACATACTAAATTTCAGATTTCTATTTCTACCAGTTCCATTGTATTTTATTATTTAGTACTTTTTATCACCTCTTCAGTACTAAATTCCAAAAAATTTATGTATAGTATTCTATTTGTAATAGTTCAAGCTATATGCGAAGTTTCACAACTTTTTAAAATACTATAGAACCAATTTCAAAAAATAATATGTTTGTCCATTTTTCTATTTTTAATAGCTTAAGTTACAAAATTTCAGAAAGATATCAACTTGAATACTAATTTTCAAAATTTGTTCGCACATTCTGATTTGTTTATCATTGACAAATCTGTATAACAAATTTCCGAGTTGTAGTTCCAACCGTTCCGGCGTAATACAGTTTTTAGTACTACCTAGTATCACTTTAGTACTAATTTCTAATAAATATTTTTGGACATCATTCTTAACCTCCACACCAAATTTCAGATATCTGTCCCTACCTGTTCCATTGTTGAGTAGTATTTAGTACCTTTAGTACTAATTTCCAAAATTTGTTCGCACATTCTGATTTGCTTATCATTGAGAAAGCTGCATACCAAGTGTCAGAGTTGTACTTCCAACCATTCCGGCGTAAACAATTTTTAGTACTATTTAGTATCATTTTAGAACTAATTTCTAAAAAATATTTTTGCTCTCTACATATCTGAAACTTTGTATGGAGCTTAAGCTCTTACAAATAGAATAACGTGCAAATATAATTCAAATATAATGTTTAGTACTTTTTAGTACTTCTTGTTATTAAATTCCAAATTTTTTTCACACATTCTGATTTGTTTATCATTGACAAAGCTGCATACAAAATTTCAGAGTTCTACTTCCAACCGTTCCGGCGTAATAAAGTTTTAGTACTTTTTAGTACCATTTTCAGATGTGTTTCTCTACCAATTCCATTCAAATATAATGTTTAGTACTTTTTAGTACCTCTTAGTACTAAATTCCAAAATTTTTTCACACATTCCACTTTGCTCGTCCTAGACAAAGCTACTTGCCAAATTTAAAAGTTCTACATCTAACCGTTCCCGCGTAATACAGTTTTTAGTACTTTTTAGTACCTTTTAGTACGAATTTCC